GTGTATGCTGGATAAAGAGTATGTAAATTACCAGTTTCAGTAATGACTATTGAAATTATTTGAAACCTAAGAATAGATCAGATTTTGCATTAGCATGTGTGTGGTTTTAAGTAAAGAAAGTAGTTGATTGTGTTCTATGTACTCTTAAAGATGTAGATAACTGTTTTCAGGTCTAAAAGATGATGATATATTATCTGGATATGGGCCACAATGCTGCATGGTAATTATAGTGTTGTCAGTTAAAAAACAGATAAAGCCAGATGCTGATCTGGAAAGAGTTTTGAGGAAGTTAGGAACAGTTATGCTAAGTGATTAACATGCAGACATATTCTATTTCTTATTAAAGATTAATTCTGTAGCCATTCATTGAGATGATTACCGATGAGCATGTACAAAAGTCCGTACTTTTCAAGGGTAGCAGATTGCATTATTAGAGCCAACATTTTCTGACTTGACATGGACTGGAACAGAGAAAGAAAGTAGTGTAAAAAGGAGTATTTGTTCATTTAAAAAAGCATCCTTTCTGTAAACTGAAACACATGTAGAGATCCCAATTTCCAGGTATATATATTTTCATATTTAAGGCACAATAACAATATAATCTTTTTCCCGAGAACAAAGAAAGTGAGAAGAGCAGTGAGAGGAGAGCAAGAAATCTGTGCTTGAAAAGCTAAAATTGTTTCAGCAGTTGCACAAGATTCTACAAGTGTCTAAGCTTAGAATTTGCAAAACATGACTTTTTTTCTGTCATGCAAGTGCAAAGAGTCTTTCATCTGGTTTTATTCATTTTCAGTAAAAGAGAGAACAAAAAAATCATTATGAGTTTGACCATTATTTGCAAGGTTTATGGTCCATTTCATTGAAATCACCTGTAATCAACCTCTTATAAGAATAGATTTGAATGTCATAGTCAGTAGCGCTGTGATTATATGTATTTGCTCTAATTTCAGTTTACTGCACAACAGTATTAACTATGGAAAACTGAAAATTACCTACCTTCCTGTGTGTTTGTTTGTTTGTTTTAATACAGCCTATATATACAAGTCTATAGATGTATTTAATGCTGAACGTTGATCTTTTTGTGCTGGCATTAATTTGCAGAGAAAACTCAGTATAAATAAATAATCACCAATGGGCAAAATTTTGGCATGCTTCCAACTGTTCACCTTAAAAAAAGAACCCTGAGCCTAAACATGAAGACAAAATTTGTCATAACTGTTTAGGTTTTGTTGGAGAACAGTTTTCCATCATTAAAATCCCTTCAAGGGCTTCATTTCCCACTTTTTTATCTTATTGATCATCTGGATAGCTGAAAACTGAATAAAATTAAAAACGAAAAGGGCTTTTCTGAGTCATAAATCCTAAAACAGATTATATAGTTAGATAGCTTATTGCATATAGTATCTAAAATATTACCACAGGAAGAGCTGTGGTTTTGTTTTTCCAGTTTAAAAATACTATTAGCTAAATACAGAAGAGCACGGCTCTAGTAATTAAAGCCTGGTGATTTTTTTATTTTGATTGAATATTAATGGCATATATTGCTGTATATTTGAGCACAGCTGAATGTTTCAAACAAAATATTGCTGGTTTATTTTGCTATAGTCAGAAATACCAGTGCAAATTTGTACTGAATTAGAGCCATTAGGCAGGAATACCAACTACACCATCATCCACAGATGAACCATAGGGCTGGCTGGCTAGCTAAAATGAAAACAGTGACAATGAGCCCCAGACAGGGTGGGTATTGCCATTGGCAGAGAAAATTTGACTGGATTTCAGGATTCCTGGATTACAGGGAATCCACACAGTCATTGCTGAATACCCAGGAAAGCCTTGTCACTTCCAGCACCTCTGAAGCTTGTTCATGTGTCTGCTCCCTGCTCTTCTCTAGAGTCTTCCCACCTTGACTATTAAGGGTTTCATCTCCTAATCAGAATTTATAAGAAACTACAATATAAAATATTTAATACAACAGTAGGAGCTAAAGACCAGTATGCAGCTTTATAGCCCTACATTGCTTTAGTGCTTCATGGATTGGTAATGATATTATTCTTTCCCTATTTTATTCTTAAACATTGTAACTGAATTTTGGGTTACATTCACACATCAAAATTACAAGGTTCTGATCTGATGTAGCAGATGTTATGTTGTTAACTTCAGAAGAATTTTGTCAATGTATATCAGCAGACTATGTAATCTAGCACTCATTAATAGCCACTGCATGAGTCAGTGCCTTTTACAGGAAGATTTGATCACACAAGATTAACAGTATTTTGCTAGTTTTAGTAGTTTTCTTCAGTGCATAACTCGACCAGATGTTATCTTTCTAAATTCTCCATTATGTGTTAAACTCTTGTGCTTTTTTGGTATTTGTTAATCTAGTCCTTCCTCCATGTCTGTAATAAACAAAACATCTGTTCCTTCTTGTTCAATCAAAGTGCTTACCTCAAGAGTCCTACTTTTAAAATAATGTCATTTAAATAGAAATCCTAGATGGAGAGAATGCATTTCGTTAACATATTTAATTTGCATATGAAACCAGCTTTTCCAGAACTCAGCAGGGAATTTGTAGTGGCAGCAGTATGTTTCTTTTTTTTTTCTCAATATTGTATACCAGAAAGTTACAGTAGAAAAAAAAAAAAAAGAATGCAAATAAATATATTGATCAGCTTAGATGAGAGAAATCAAACTGCAATGAGAAGTCATTGTTGTGCATTTGGGATGTTCTCCATTCTAAACATTCCAGCTGAAAATTCTTTGAATAGAGCTGTATTCTAGCCTTAATACTCAGTCTTGGTTTATGGAAAGATCTGTTAAGCTTGACTTTTTTTAAGTTCAAACAAAAATAATTCCTCAATATATATGAGGTATGTAATAAAATATTAAAATAAAATTAACTCATGCAGCTGTACAAACTTATACCCTATAGTAGAATATACCATGTATCCCAATAACAATTTAAGTCCCTGGAACAGAGCATTACCCCATTAAGCAAGGAAGGTTGACACTACTACCTCTAAAACACGTGTAAGTAAAAAGCAGATAAAAAGAGTGGCAGAGATAGAAGGTGCTCATAGTTACACACTGAGGAGCAGAGTTCTGTAAAGACAACCGTGAGCACTTGCTGAGTGATAGTGAGCAATCCTCATCAGCATTCATAAGTAAATTCCACAGTAAAATGTAGCAGTAAAAGGTTTTCTATACAAACATAAAATTGCACTTGAATTTTTGTGTCAACTTTGTACCAGAACAGTTGAGAATGTTACTGTCATACTATAGAGATCCATAGGGATGGTTAATACCTGTAGCTAAGAGGACAACAGACTTAACTCGTGTTCATTTTGTGGTTAATACAGTGAAGAGTTCATAAAGCAGAAACAGTGTGATCTTTCAGGAATGCACAGAAACAATGCCAACTTGTAGAAACAAATATGCTTAATATGGGCAAAATACAAGGGCATTTTAAGTATTTTCTGATAAACTTCAGTTGCAGTAACACACACTGTAACAATTTTCGTTTGGAAGTCTATAAAAAGGTGTATCTTCTTTTCCTTTCTGAGTGTATTATCAGTAGAAATTCATTTTATCTGGGTTTTAATTATGTGGTTTTCTGTTTCTTCTTTGTTTGTCAAATGTAATGAAAGTGAAAAAAGAGCTTATAAATGAAGAAAACTTTTCTCATGTTTAGGATATTAGGTTTTTCATCTACTCTTACACCAGATTGAACAAGCTTTGGTAGAAACATTTCTTACTGATACATTTTTTAAGAGGCTTCTGAGTCTTTTATTCACACTGATGAATATTCCAAGAGTATTCTAAGGTATAATGCTCCATGTTATTTCAGGACTTGATCTTGTATCTTAGACAAATATGTGGAAGCATTGGGGAAAAAAATATTCATTAAATGTTGAGATATATCTGTTTGCCATTAATATTATTCCTTGTTCATAGAAGATAACATTCTTTTGAATATTTGGAAAGTTTATCTTTCATGATACTTCTGATATTGTGTATTCCCCCTAATTTTAGAAACAGCTTATTGTATTGCTCTGTGGTTTATTCTGGCAAATGACATTTTGGTAAGGTGACTTAGCACCTTTATCTAGGTGGAGAAAACATCATGCCTAAGAGGTGTTATAATTTGGAATTTGCTTTTAGTAGAGTGTTTGCTACTTACTTGTCGACTCAGCATAACTTGCCTGCACAGTAATGACCAGAACAAACACTCTTTCACAGTTCTTCAATGACAGTTTAACATGTCAGGCAAGCTGTCTTCCTGCCAGATGCTACAGGAAGTACAAGAAGTATATAAATTCTGCTTTTGTTTTAAAAGATCTGGGTGAATGAACATATCCATATGCTTCACTGCTGTCAGTATTGGGAGGATGGTGCTCCCCTAAGATTATGGGTTTTGGCAGACATTTGCTGATTTTGCAGTGCCTCTGGGATGATGTCTTCATCTTTGGTGACTAGCCTCACACCACAATGACAGGATTAGCTGTGAGCTCAGCTTCCACATGAGCCTTTCTCCTTCCTATTTTTGATTTCCATTTTCTTGGAAATATCTAGCTTTTTAAAAAGGCAGCAATCACAAGCATAATGTGCCCTTTGGGCTTGTTACTCACTATATTTAAATGGATTAATTAGTATTTTTCTTTCTGAACTTGATCATAGAAATAGTTAAGACATTCTTTATTACTAAATTGTGGCATATGGCCTTTTGATGAGAAAGGTGAGTGATAATATCTGTAGTTAGATACAATTATACCTGAAAATGTGGACTCCTTGGTAGTTCCAAGACTTGTATTTATGATATAATGTTATTTTTTTGGTAATATTTACTTTAATAACAATTCCTTGTTATCACACCAAAATGATTTCATTTCTGCAATAACCTTCATTAAAGCTTGCATAATGAGCCTGAGACACACAAAACACTTAAAGATAATAAATACTGGACTAAGTAAAATGTTCCAATGTTTTTTTGTTCTTCATAGGCTCTGGTCTCAGTGACGGGCAGTGGCATGAAGTGCGATTCCTAGCTAAGGAAAATTTTGCTGTCCTCACCATTGATGGCGATGAAGCTTCAGCTGTTCGAACAAACAGCCCTCTACAAGTTAAGACTGGAGAGAAATATTTATTTGGAGGTAAAAAAACATCAAAACAAGTACCTGCTTAAAGTGCTGTTCTCTTTTAATCTGCTTTAATAGGTGAAATGGAGATCAGGATGTAATTAATTCACGTAGGTCTTAATATGTCTAAAATGGCTGGGTGCTGCTCATCAAAACATAAAACACTAAACTTTATTTCACTTTTAAGAATCTTTCTACACCTCCTCATCCTTGCAAAAGAAACTCTGAGAAGTTCTGTAACAAGAGTCAATCTAGCTTGCAATGATTTCTCAGATCTCTGAACTGAAAGGGTAACCTTCCATTAGTAGTTCAATTATATGAACTGAGAAGAGAGATAAACTTTATCTTTTAATGTTTGGAATCCTGAGAACAAAAACATCATTGTTCAAGACTGGTCTTAACTTTTTGCTGATTTCTTTAACAGCTGTCATGACTATGGGTAATTAAGAAGCTCTTATAAATTGAAGCCTTAGATTGTTCAGTATTTCTATCTGTTGGCAGTCCATATAATCAAGAGTTCTTGCAAATTGTAGCTTTAATATTTATTCCTCTTGCTCTTCTATGTTAGCATTTATGAAAATGAAAAAAAGGCCATCAAAACTCTTGGATTTTTAAAATATGTATTTAAATTTCTATAGTAAAGAAAAATATTTAGCATGCCAAGAATATTTTTGTTACACTACTAACTTAAGGGGGAAGGTTATTAAGTGTTTTTTAATTTAGATGTATTACTTTTTGTAGTGCTAGACAGGTTTTTTAAAAAGCATCCAATGCAACAATGACTTGCAATCTTGGGCAGTATTCTCAGCAAGCTCAAATGTGCTAAGATCAAAAAATGAGCTGTAAATTGTACTTTTGAAGTATCTCACGCATGTGAAGTTGCATCTGAAAGCTTCAGGCAGAAAATAAAAATTTTAAATGTAGAATTTATCAGTATTGAAAACTGTTTGTTTTTTCTTTTTTTCCCAAACTTACAAGGTGAATATCTAATCAAAATAAAATATAACTGTGATGCTATAATTAGTAATAATATTACATCTTTTCCAATATCCTTAATTCAGCTAATATCCTGAATAGGGGTTTTTAGCATATTGCTTCAAATAAGAGTTCTAACATAGCCACTTGCCACATGCTAAAGCATGAAGATTATTCTGTTGTCAAAATATAGTACCTTCAATTTGTCAGAACAGTCTGAGACATTCTCAATAAGTTATTAAGCACGCATAGGAGAAAATGAAAATAAATGCCATACATAATACCTCCAGTGTTAAGTTCTGTTAATTTTGATAAGTAAAACCCCCAGACCATTATTACATTTCTGGAGAAAGATTGATTGATTTCTTCTGAAATGCCTTTTACCTCTGACTCTTTGATTGCAAGGGACAAATTGTTTAATTTCTCCAGGTAGTTTTTATACCCTTTGTCAATCAAAATACGGGTTGATTTCTTGTTATTTCAGTTGTATTCTGAAATCTGCTTGATTTGTAATTGTTGACCTGTATTTTATAATTCTACCTTCCTTCCATAAAAAAAGTGTGCATGCAGATATTGTTCCAATGGGGTATGAAAGTCAATCATGAATTCACTGAAGTGTTTTTCCGAGATCTGTTCACCCAAATATATGGTCCCATTGTGTAAATTATGGTAAATTTTTTCCTTATTATCTTTTATAATCTGAAAGCTCTTCTAAAGCTATATCAAAACTCTAGCACTGTCCTCACCTTCATGTCCAATTTTATTTCAAAATAAGACGTCTGCATTTGCAACACTGTGCTTTTATGTTTTAGTTGACTGTAGCTGTGAATCTGACAAAGCTTTATTTCTGAGTTGGATCTGAGGAATGGATTTATTTTAGTATGCTCTCACATGAATATTGCTATATATATATATGCTAGTTATTTTGCTATATATATCTGTTAACTAAAGATACTTGCAATTTAAAGCCAGTCTTTCGGATACATATTAGAAACCAAATTTTTATACTCACGATCTGCATCTTATGAGGCAAATGTATTTTTGTTGTATTCCCTCTACACATATGTGTTCCTCCTTATTTTTCTTCATAAGCATTCCAAGTTATGGCTGTTAATAAGTAACATTTGCAAGAAGAGGATGTAGAGGTGAGAATAGTGGGGAACTTCAAACTTTTGCACCGCTTGGTAATTGTCATCAAAGGAGATGTTCTCTAGTTTCATTAGGAGAAAGCTCAGATAAGAAAGTGTCAAATACTCTTTTTCTGCAAATATGTATAATTGGTTAGGAAAGGGACAACTGCCTCTTGAATTCAGAGGGTAGAAATTTGGGGGTTTTTGCAAACTGCTAGGTGGCTAGCAGAAAGAATTGTCAATCTCTGATGATAAATTTTAAATGTGAAAAGGAATCCAGTAGATTTCTTTGCTAGAGGTCTGAATACAATAGTTACAGGTATTTTGTATATTAAACCTTTGTATTATTAAAATTCAAACATACATCACAGATGCAGAAGTTAAATGATCAGTTTTAAAGATCAATGTTGTGATACTAATCCTATCCCACTGCTATATTTCTTGATCTTGCAAAATACTGAGAAAGCGCAGTCCATTGAATTTGTGTTTGTAGCATTTCTAGAAGTCTCTGAACACTCTTCTGATTTAAATTTTCCCATTTCATCTTTGAAAGAGATACCACACGTATGCAAATATTTTGTTCTCCAAACTTTACCTTTCCCTAATTTCAAAATAAGTATGTGTCTCTGTATTCTGGTCTCCTGGTGTCAATATAGCAAATAGATACTACAGGCAATGGTGTTGTCTTTACTGAAGAAAAGGTGTAAAGGTTGCATTTCACTGCTGCAGTGCAATATTTTCTCAAAAATATACTGGAGAATTTAAAGAGAAAAATAATTATGGTAAAATGGGTACTGCTTCAAAGTATTACGGCAAACACTTGATAGAGCTTTTATGTGAAAATAACTACAGCTTTTATTGTAAGATGATTACCACATATTTGAATGTGAATTTTTGAGACAGTGTCTGTTTTTAAGGAAAATTATAATTTTCATATATTGTTGTCATAACTTTGCACTGGACATATCCCATAATATTAGTTTTATTATAAAGTAGACAATCTATCAAAATTGGAAATGGATTAAAGATTGAGTGGGCAAGAAGGACCAAATGTATGCCAAATGTAATGATGAAAATTCCAGACATATTGGAAATATTAAACTGACTTTTACAAAGATGGGTTTGCAGTGATATCTGAAAAAGTCCTTAATATTATTCGCAGTATTTTGATTAGAATTTGATTATGACTCAGTCCGTTATAACTACATAAATAATAGGGGGAATGCAGAGACTTTAGACAGTTGTGTGTTTATTCCTGACATCAGAAAATTTGGCACAGGCAGGAACAAGCCTGAGTCAGAGTGTTCCCTCCCTCTTCTGTACAGGCAAATGGGTACAATAAGAGCCAGTTAAACACTGTGTGGACACTGAAGGCCTTAACTAAAGAATAACTTGCTTAGACACCGAATGGTATGCTGGGCCTCGAAAGTCAGCCTCGCTGTCTAGCAGCAGCCTCCAACTACCAATTTGTAAAAGTTGGCTTTTTAGAGAAGCCAGACCTGATTGACACTCAGTTTCCGTCAAACTAGTTCCTAAATATATTCTGGTTATTCCTTAGTTTATTCATTCATTTGAATAGAAATGCTCATCACTGACCACCAAATCCAGAGATTTACATCATATACAGCAATATTTGAATAACGGAGATGTGGAAATTGGAATCTTTTGTGACTTCTGCTCATAGGACTGACTTTTCTAGTTTTGAAAAATCATAAGTAAACCATAAAAATAAATAATGAAGACTCTTTATTTCTCTGTTAGAGAATAAATTATGCTCAGTACTGTTATATTTGTGGGGTTTTTTCTTCCTTTGTGCCTAGCCTGTACTGTCTCCCAGTACTACTAAGATTCTCCCAAAGGACAGACAGCAATGATGTTTTATTCAAGCCTAAGAGTTAGGGGAAGCTGTAGATCAGGCATTTCTGTAGATTGCATGAATGGGTGCTGGTGTATGTGGGAGTGTGGGTGCTAATTGCCTATTGCCCTTCTGTATAACTATTCTTCTCTCCCCACTGGTTTTATATTCCTTCTCTTCCTTGTCTTGAATTTGGATTTTTGGAAAGAAGTGAACTTCCTTTCCCTACTAAGCTCTAGAGAATGATGTTTCTTTGTTGTTTCCAATTATCTGCATAAAACAAAAAAGAAGAACAGAGAATTACAGAGTGAAAATGAGTCCATTAACCTTATTTGCACTTTTGGAGATAAAGGGCTTTTGTGAGGCATCTTAAGCTTGCACCAAAACACCTAATAGCTGCCTAGTGCCCAGAGGAAATATTTGATTAGAGATGTAATTTTGACCCGTTTCTATTTTACAGCATTTCTTTTTAATTGAGTTTATTTTCCCTTTCATTTTCACTGGTTTAAGGATGGGGGAGTTTTTAGTATGAATGATAAATCTTCACTGAGAACAAAGGTATGCAGTGAGCATCTGTCAATCCACTGTGTGCTGCTTTTTCTGACAAGCAAAGATGAATGGCCTATGCAGTAAGTTTCCTGTGGGACACCCATCTATGGCATATAGAAAATCCTTCTTTTCTCTACAACTATACAAACACACTCTGTATCACATCTTGCTCCTCTAATAGAATTAATTTGTTTCTGAAAGTTGTGTTGGGCTAAAATCCCATAGAATTAGAAGTGGCAGAAGGAGGTGGGAGGAAGGAAGTCAAGCGAAAGAGAAAAAATGCCTTCCTCATATTTATATGTTCTCTGCTCTTCCATGTGGGAATCTTCCCTTCTTAAAACCTGTAGTCTACAACCAAAGCCTTTGAACGGTGTGCTTACATTTTTTTATCAAGTTATCCATTGTTATCATTGTGCAAACTGGTCATTAACAGCTGTTATAGTCAGGCTCAGACTTCCTAGGTAGTGTCACTGGGATCTCAAAAGTACTCAGGCTATCGTAAGTTC